GTAATCCTAGCACTTCGGGAGGCTGAGGCGGGCGAATCACCTGAGGGTGGGAGTTCGAGACCAGCCTGACCAGCATGGAGAAACCCTGTCTCTACTAGAAATAAAAATTAGCGCCAGGCGCGGTGGCTCAAGCCTGTAATCCCAGCACTTTGGGAGGCCGAGGCGGGTGGATCACGAGGTCAAGAGATCGAGACCATCCTGGTCAACATGGTGAAACCCCGTCTCTACTAAAAATACAAAAAATTAGCTGGGCATAGTGGCGCGTGCCTGTAATCCCAGCTCCTCAGGAGGCTGAGGCAGGAGAATTGCCCGAACCCAGGAGGCGGAGGTTGCGGTGAGCCGAGATCGCGCCATTGCACTCCAGCCTGGGCAACAAGAGCAAAACTCCGTCTTAAAAAAAAAAAAAAAAAAAAAAAATTAGCATGGAATCCCACTACTCAGGAGGATGAGGCAGGAGAAACGCTTGAACCCAAGTGGCAGAGGTTGTGGTGAGCCAAGGTCGTGCTGTTGCACTCCAGCCTGGGCAACAAGAGCAAAACTCCGTCACCCAAAAAAAAAAAAAAAAAAAAAGCAAAACTAGCCAGGCTTGGTGGTGTGCACCTGTAAGGCACAAGAATCACTTGAACCCGGGAGGTGGAGTTTGCAGTTAGCTGACATCACACCACTGCACCCCAGCCTGGGTAACAGAGCAAGACATCATCTTAAAAAAAAAAAACACTAAATGCAAAAGTTGTGGAATGACAAAAAGACACTACTCTTAAGAAGTTTAAAAACATGCAAACAATATGTAGTATAATTTTAAGCGCAGTATACATACTATAAAAGAGAATTTCTATTTGTAGAGTGTTTACCTCCGAGAACAGAGGAAGAATGGGATCAGGTAGCTGCTAAAAGTACTACAGTATTTCAACTGCATCTTGAAGGTTCCTTTCTTAATAAAAGAATCAAGTATATCAAAATATTAGCACTTGAGATACTTGCCTGGCAGGAAAGGGAGTTTATACTTTGCATTTTATGCTGAAAGTATTTCATAGTTTAAAAAAACTACAAAATATATTAGAAAAAAAATTGGCTGTTAAGGCTACCATTCTTATTCAAAACCAAAAAACTTTTTTTTTAGTTTTACTGTTTAGAAAGATTCTAACAACCCCATTGTACAAAGGCCTAGTTAAGTAAATGTTGTAAATTTGAATGTCTAAAATGAATTTGCATTATTCTTATGCTATCAGTATCTATTTTTATATTGGGATTTCTTATAAAATTTCACTGCAGAAAAGGACTGCATGACTGCATTTCACTGGAGAAAGTCCCAAGCTACTTCCTGGTACACAGGAAAAGTCAAAAACACAGCAAAACACACATTAAAATGTCACTTGGAAATGTATCCTCTTAAAAGTTCACAATTCAAACTGCTGTGTCAGCAGAGCTTTGTAGAGAGAGAATTTGAGCTCAGCTTTGTGGGACACAAGTATATCTTTAAAGGAAGTGGATACCAAGGTTGAAAAGAGCAAACATTTAGTAATGAATGGTAAACAGCACAGAGGCAGAAAATTGGCAAGAAAGATTGCCTGGCTTGAGTAAGGGGAAAAAGATGTGCAAACAAGAACTGGAGTTAAGGCTTAGAACAGAGATGAACAGACAAGTCAGGACCTGGAAACCAGTGAAAAAGGAAATGGCATCTTCCCTGTTAATACCAACCACTGTGGCCCTGTCCCCCATGTTTCACTTTCCCCTTGGAATTCTATGACAATGGATATTCCAAACAGGCTCCGCCTCAAGATCCCTGTACCCCCCCCCCAACACTTGAGTGCCAGTTGGGGAGAAGAGGTGGGATAGAAGGATATTTTCTTTTTTCCCCTCAGAATACATTAAAGAAATCTTATTAAATAAAAAACAAAAAAATAAATCTAGATTTGAGGAATTCCAATAATATGTTTACGGAGCTCTAATGCTACCCAATCTAGCATATCCTTCAGGGATTGTAGGTTCGAACTATAAGAAAAGATAGGAATTTGCCTGAGTTCCCTAATTCCTAGCCTTTGGCCTGCTTCCATTTGACAAGTCACATATCATCATCAACTCATGAGTGCCTTCCTAAGACACCCTGACCCACTGCAGATTTTCTCAGGGACTGGGAAAAGGATTCCTTCCTCATATGAATGTCAGAAAGACTGCTCATCATCCAGTGACACTCTTCACCTACCCAAAGAGATTAATCTTTAAAGGCCTTTAATCATAAAATGACCATATCATACACTAGCAAGAGGTGGTTACTTCCTGCTGGGAGAAGTGCTATCAGAGAAGAGGGAAAGGTGGCAGGGCGTGGTGGCTCATGCCAGTAATCCCAGCACTTTAGGAGACTGAGGTGGGCAGATCACTTGAGGCGAGGAGTTGGGAGACCAGCCTGGGGCCAACATGGTGAAACCCCCACCATCTCTATTAAAAATACAAAAATTAGCTGGGCGTGGTGGTGTGCACCTATAGTCCCAGTTGCTCAGGAAGCTGAGGCAAGATAATCACTTGAACCAGGGAGGCGGGTGTTGCAGTGTGCTGTCGCACCACAGCGCTCCAGCCTGGGAGACAGATTTGTCTCAAAAAATAAATAAATAAATAAATAAGAAAAGAAAAAAAAGAAAAGGTGGGAGGGAGAGGACAGTTTTAGCACCTTTACAGAGAAAGATCCTATTTGAAGGTCCTCGTCTTTTCTTCAGGGACTATGACTTAAATAACGAGAGAATGTAAAGCTTCTTGTATGTTCCTAGCACTCTATTTATCACACTATATTACAATTCTTATGTCTGTATGTTTCCTCTATTAAATTGAGACTTCCTTGAAGGCCAGAACTCACAGTCCATTTATTCATTTTGTGTCCCTAGATTAACACAATGCTTGACACACAGTAATTATACAATGTATGTCTGTTGAATGAAGAGCGAACAAAGGAATGACCAAAAAAAAAAAAAAAAAAGTAATAAAAATCTGACAGAATCAAGGAGAACAAGTGAAAAAGACAATGACAATGTAAGGTAACATTCCTGTAGACATCTCAAGCCAAATAATGACTTGCTTTGTCTTAGCAATTTGCAATGAAAAGGTTTACGACATGAAAAACACAATATATAATTTTCCTTCTATGATATACGTGCAAGTCTGATTTTTTCTTCTATGATATATGTGCAAGTCCAATTTTTTCTTCTATGATATTATGTGCAAGTCCGATTGGAGCCCTAGTATTTCATTCTACGTTTTCTAATTCCATTCTCTTGACTAGAAGTTTCAAGAGGGCCTCAATTTCATTCTTTCACCCTTAAGCTGTCTTTTGGGTACTGAATTCAGTCATGCTTAAGCTACTGGACGCTCTGGCTTATGCCACTGGCCATAAAACAATCTAGACACAGTGTTTTTGTTTTGTTGTTTGTCTCAACAGCAGTGCCTCCTTTACAACGGTGGGACGAAACTGTGATGCACTAAACCAAGCTGGGGCCTCAGGAGCCAGCAGGGAAATGTTTAGAACAGAACAGGCAGAGCAAGTCTGCCTACTTCTACCAGAGAGCTTTTCTATCAGAAAACAATCAGCTTCCAAGAAAAATGTACCTTGAAGAAGAGTTCACAGTTTTTAAGTTCTAAAATCCTTTGTATAATTCTATTTTGTACCTTCTGTTTTATTTCATTAGAACAGAATCAAAGTGTCCACAACAGCAATTATTTAAAAGTACAGGTCTCACAAAGGTAATATGATTCAAACAAACAAACAAAAACGCTGCAATGAGGTGTTTCAAAAGGAAACAGTGAGCCTCAGAGTGAAGTTTCCCAGAGTTATACCAGTCACCTCTATTCATCTGCCAAGAAAAAAGTTGAATGAAATAAGGAACATACATATTTGAACTATTTACATACCTACATTATTTGACTCAAACATTTTTTTTAATGACTTATGGATTATACAACATACCAGAATAGGGCACTTTCTGGAGTCTCCTAATAACCAAATGTTAACTGTGAAACAAGTGACTGCTAAGATGTGCAGTATTCTTGTGACTTCAGCAATGTTCAGCTATGCTTCCCTCCCGCCCCTTCCCCCCCCATTCCAAGTTCTAAAAAATCTACCTAGGGTTCTGTTTACTGCTACTAAAAACCGAAAAAACAAACCTGTAGTCCCAGCTACTCGGGAAACGGCGGTGGACGCTGAGGCAGGAGGAATTCTAGTCCCACCTGGGCAACATAGTGAGACTCAGACTCTCAATACATATATGTATTTCTCAGCTTGCTGTAGTGTTACTCAAATTTCCAAAATAAGTTCGTATATCTGATCCATGTTTTTCTCATTCTATAGTCAGAGACCAGCGCCTTATGACTGCAACAAGTAAAATACTTGTTCTGCAGTGTTTTGAGACTTGAGATTTCCTTTTCATACTCTAAAACAGGACATCTAGCACCTCCGCAATCTGCAATCCGGGGACGAAGAGCAACACCTTTACAATTGTAATAAATCTTGAAGCTGCCTTATCAGGGATTGAATGCATGAGTAATATAAATAATGGAAAGTAAGTTCTTCCTATACAATGGGGGTGTCTAGTTGGGCTGCTCTACACAGCAGGGTCTCCACTGCTACATCATCTTCAAAACACGATGGGGCAGAGAGGGAGGTAACCAGCTGTAGAGCGAGCAGGAAGTTTTCAATCACCAACTCCACAGTTACTTAACCAATCCTGCCTCGAAGCGAGCCCTAGGCTTTTTCCAAATCCTACGCTTGGAGAGGAAAACGGCCCTTTGAGGGACCCCAAACTCAGGCGGCAGGAAGCACGTCCCAGACCGCTAGCGACACGCCGAGGTTGCCCCTAGAAAAATCCCAACATCGAAGCAGGGGGCGGCACCGCCCCTCCTCTCCCTTCGCTTGGCTTCCCAGTACCCGGAGTCGCTACCGCCCACTTGCTAGCTGGACTAACAGCAGCAGTCCAGGGCCGGGCACACAGCAGTCCAGGACCAGGCACAGCACTCACCCACGTCTTGCTCGAAGGGGTTGGCGATGAACAAAGGCATCTCGCCTGCGCCAGAGCCCTAGTTGCTGCTGTCCAGCTCTGAGTCGGCAACTGCACCCCACTAGGTGACCCACGGCCGCGGCTTCCTACACCACTCCGCTTCGGCCTCCGTCCCCGCACTTCCGCCACCGCACCTGCCCGGCTCCTGCCTGACAGGCAGGCTCCGAATCTGCCCTTCAACCCCGCGGTCCTGCCCCAACTCTTCTCCGGGGGCGAGATCCCTCCGACCACGGGCGTCCTCCCAGCGCCTTTATCGCTGTCTCCGTCCCAGGTTTTTGTAGGGGTCAGGCGGCCGCTACGGCCACCTTTCCAGCGCTAGGACCCCGGCGGGCCACGGAGCCGGGAACCTAAGGAGCCGGAAGTAGACCGGCCTGGAACTAGACGACCCCGGAAGCTGCAGTGCCGGGGACGGCGCGGCAGGGGGCGCGGTCACCCGTGCTTTTTCGCGTTGGACGACGGGCTCTGAAGGCCACCTTCTTGTTACGAATTTAGTTCGTAATTAACCTTGTTTAGACAACAAGGATCCGCGATGCGTTCACCTTATGGTCTTGTTTCCCTGGAAACGGAGCCGCAGGCTCGGAGGTGGCTTTGAGATTCTGCGAAAGACCTGACTGCTCTTGAACCCTTACTGGGTTGCACCCTCCCCGGCGCCCAGTCCAAACCCAGTCGGAATAACCACCCGGGACAGCGTGGTCAAAGTACGCCTAACTTCTCGCTTTCCATCATGTCCCCTCCATAAAAACACTTCCGGGCCGTGGGAATCCAAAAGCGAAAGAGGCACACTCCCTGCCTTCGACTTGCTCAGAGTTTATAGGGACAGTGCATACCATACATGGCAGTGTGTGACGATTCGGTTAGTAGTAAGAGTCATAAACTCAAATTCCCGTAGGATCCAGCCAGGTGCTTAATTGAATGCAAAAGCACAAGCACCCTTCCCACCCACATATTTTCTATTCCTCTTAGAAAACATGTAGTAATGATTATGTTTCCCGTCTCCCCTCTAAGGGAAGTATAAGGGAGTTTATACTTCCCTTAGAGTATAAACTCCCCAATGAGTTTTGGTCACTGCTATATCCCCAGGGTCTAAAACTGTGTCCCAAGTAATAGATGCTCAATACTTTTAGAATGAAGCCATAACTTTCTAACTGAACAGTGCATATCTAAAGGTGTCAACTACTGGTAAATTTTAGCCATTAGTTGAAATGTGGATCCTACTAGAGTCTGCAATTTTTCAACGATTTTTAAGTGTTGAGAATTACTCCAACATTTTAAATGATGGATTAATCAAAGCCACTTTACAATCTCTACTATAAAGACCTGATGCTATAAAGAGAGAACTCTTAGACATTCAGAAAGATTGTTGCATTTTATAAAGTTAGGGGCACAAATGAGAAGGAATCGTGTAGGTGAAGGGGCTGTTTTTTATAGAACGTTGAACCTAGGATACTCAAGATAAATTGGAAGGCTGGGCATGGTGACTCACACCTGTAATCCCAGCACTTTGGGAGGCCAAGGCGGGCATATTGCTTGAGATCACGAGTTCAAGACCAGCTTGGCTAACATAGTGAAATCCCATCTCTACTAAAAATACAAAAATTAGCTGGGCACGGTGGCACAGGCCTGTAATGCCAACTTCTTGGGAGGCTGAGGTATGAGAATCACTTGAACTTGGAAGGCAGAGGTTGCAGTGAGCCAAGATAAGGTAACTGCTCTCCAGCCTGAGCGACAGAGCAAGACGCTGTCTCAAAAATAAATAAATAAATAAATAGATTTTCTGGATGGATGAAGACTTTTTGTCTAGGGTTAAGACTTAGTGTTAGAATGGAAAACAAGGCTAACTAGGGATAAGAGGAAATAGATTGAGAAGAATTTTTTTGTTTGAGGCAGAGTCTCACTCTGTCACCCAGGCTGGAGTGCAGTGGTGCAATCTCAGCTCACTGCAACCTCTGCCTCCTGGGTTCAAGCAGTTTCCCTGCCTCAGCTTCCCGAATAGCTGGGACTAAGGTGAGCACTACCACACTCGGCTAATATATATATGTGTGTGTATATATATATACTATAAAATACTATATATTTATATACACTATGAAATACTATATATTATACTATAAAATACTATATATATAGTAGCCTATAAAATACTATATATATATATGTGTAGTATTTTAGTAAAGATAGAGTTTCACCATGTTGGCCAGGATGGTCTTGGTCTCCTGACTTTGTGATCTGCCTGCCTCTGCCTTCCAAAGTGCTGGGCTTACAGGTGTGAGCCACTGTGCCGGGCCAAGAAGAACTTTAAAAGGCAAGATGGGAAATTTTTATTTTGATTAAGGCACTCAATATTTAAGGATATTGAGCAGCAGAATAGTATAATTTTAAAAAGAGTTTTTGGAATATAGTCTGAAATCAGAGTGCATGACATGTAAACAAGCCAACCTAGTCAGAACAGTTTAGGAGGCTATTTTTTTTTATTGTTTCTTTTTGAGATGGAATCTTGCTCTGTTACCCAGGCTGAAGTGCAGTGGCATGATCTAGGCTAACTGCAACCTCTGCCTCCCGGGTTCAAGCGATTCTTCTGCCTCAGCCTCCCAAGTAGCTGGGACTACAGGTGGGTGCCATCATGCATGGCTAATTTTTTTGTATTTTTAGTAGATACGGGGTTTTACCATATTGGCCAGGCTGGTCTCTAACTCTTGACCTCATGATCCGCCTGCCTCAACCTCCTAAAGTGCTGGGATTACAGGCATGAGCCACGGTGCCCAGCCTAGGAGGCTATTGTAACACTTGAAACCATAAAAGAAAATGTTTTGGAGAAGCTTGTATTAACAGCAGGAGACTGCCAGGTGTGGTGGCACATGCCTGTAATCCCAACTGCTTGGGAGGCTGAAACAGGGGAATCACTTTGAGCCCAGGAGTTGGAAACCAGCCTGGATAACACAGCAAGACCCCAGTCACAATTTAATAAAAAAAAAAAAAAAAAAAAAAAAAAAAAAAGCAGGACAGGCAAAAGAGATTACAGGTGACTCACACCTGTAATCCCAGCGCTTTGGGAGGCTAAGGTGGACGAATTGCTTGAGCCCAGGAGTTTGGGACCAGCCTTCACAACATGGCAAAACCCCATCTCTATAAAAAATACAAAAATTACTTAGGCGTGGTGGTATGTACCCAGCTACTTGGGAGGCTGAGGTAAGAAGATCACCTGAGCCCAGGATTTCAAGGTTCCGGTGAGCTAATGATTGTGCCACTACATTCCAGCCTGGGTGAAAGAGTGAGACCCTGTCACAAAAAAAAAGTAAAATAATTTTTTTTCGAGACAGAGTTTTGCTCTGTTGCCAGGCTAGAGTGCAGTGGGGCGATCTGGGCTCACTGCAGCCTTCGACTCCCTGGTTCAAGCGATTCTCCTGCATCAGCCTCCCAAGTAGCTGGGATTACATGCATGCGCCACTGCGCCCAGCTAATTTTTGTATTTTTTGGTAGAGACAGGATTCCACCATGTTGGCCAGGATGGTCTCAATCTCCTCACCTTGTGATCTGCCCACCTTGGACTCCCAAAGTGTTGGGATTACAGGTGTAAGCCACCTTGCACCGCCAAAATAGTATTTAAAAAGCAGAAAGCTGAGGATTTGGCTTTGGAAAGCATTCATTAAAAAAAAAAATTATTTTTATTTTGAGGTGGAGTTTTGCTCTTGTTGCCCAGGCTGGAGTGCGATGGTGTGATCTTGGCTCACTGCAGCCTTCACCTCCTAGGTTCAAGCGATTCTCCTGCCTCAGCCTCCTGAGTAACTTGGATTACAAGCACGCACCACTATGCCCAGCTAATTTTTGTATTTTTAGTAGAGATGGGGTTTCTTCATGTTGGTCAGGCTGGTCTTGAACTCCCAACCTCAAGTGATCGCCCGCCTCAGCCTCCCAAAGTGGTAGGATTACAGACGTGAGCCACCACGCCCGGTCTATTTTTATTTGTTTTAATTTTTTTTTTTTTTTTTTTTTGAGACGGAGTTTCACTCTTGTTACCCAGGCTGGAGTGCAATGGCGCAATCTCGGCTCACCGCAACCTCTGCCTCCTGGGTTCAGGCAATTCTCCTGCCTCAGCCTCCTGAGTAGCTGGGATTACAGGCACGTGCCACCATGCCCAGCTAATTTTTTGTAGCTTTAGTAGAGACGGGGTTTCACCATGTTGACCAGGATGGTCTTGATCTCTTGACCTCGTGATCCACCTGCCTCAGCCTCCCGAAGTGCTGGGATTACAGGCGTGAGCCACCGCGCCCGGCCTGTTTTAATTTTTTTAAGTGAGAGCAATTTATTAAGAAATTTAAGGAATAAAAGAATGGCTACCCCATGGGCGGAGCAGCCCTAAGGGCTTCTGGTTTTCTATTTTATGGTTATTTCTTAATTATATGCTAAACCAGGGGTAGATTATTCATGAATTTTCTGGGAAAGGGGTTAGCAGTTCTGGGAAATGAGGGTTCCTCCCCTTTTTAGACCATATAGGGTATATTTTTATTTTTATTTTTATATTTGAGACAAGTTCTTGCTCTGTCACCCAGGCTGGAGTGTAGTGGTGCCATCTCAGCTCACTGCAACATCTGCCTCCCGAGTTCAAGCGATTCTCCTCCTTAGCTTCCCAAGTATCTGGGACTACAGGTGCATGACACCACACCTGGCTAATTTTTGTATTTTTAGTAGAGATGGGGTTTCACCATGTTGGCCAGGCTGGTCTCAAACTCCTGACCTCAAAGTAATCTGCCCACCTCAGCCTCCCAAAGTGCTGGGATTGCAGGTGTGAGCCACCATGACCAGACACATTCATGTTTTAAAAAGACTCTTTTGGTTCCTCATCTTTAAGGCAGGTATACTCAAGGATCTATAGGTATTTTTTTTCTATGTATATACTCAGTTCCTCAGTGAGCTCCTCTAATAAAGTGTTTTTTGTTTTTTGGTTTTTTTTTTGAGACGGAGTTTCACTCTTGCTACCCAGGCTGGAGTGCAATGGCGCGATCTCGGCTCACTGCAACCTCTGCCTCCTGGGTTCAGGCAATTCTCCTGCCTCAGCCTCCTGAGTAGCTGGGATTACAGGCACTCGCCACCATGCCCAGCTAATGTTTTTTGTATTTTTAGTAGAGACGGGTTTCACCATGTTGACCAGGATGGTCTCGATCTCTTGACCTCGTGATCCACCCGCCAGAGCCTCCCAAAGTGCTGGGATTACAGGCGTGAGCCACCGCGCCCGGCCTAACAAAGTTTTTTTTTTTTTTTTTTTTTTTTTTTAATCATTTGTAATTTACAAAGCTTTTAATAGTCACCAGGACCCAGACCCTGTGTTAGAAACAAGAGGATACAAAGA